TTTTAACTTAGTCTATTATATATACGGTGACACTAACATACGTAAGAAATAATAAACTTGACAACAAACATGTATGGTAGAAGGCCATTTGGTATTAAAGTATTTAAGTATTCTTCTTGGTAGTAATTATTGGTATCATTTTCTGCTGAGTCAAAAAATAAAAATAAAAATATTTTATTTTTATTATAAAATTTTGCATTATACTTTTATTTAGTTGATCAACATATTTATTTCTGCTAGCTAAGATATCTTTTTAATTCTATCATACCATTTGCACAAATTGCGTTTTAATCTAATGATAGAAATATTTCTCTTATTAAATGCACTACTATTACGATTGGGATTGATAACCACGTGTTCAGGAAAAACCAAATCATCTTTTATTGGATGCTCTTATTCGTTTCCGACACGAAGCAAGAAGACACTGAATACTGGATTTGTTCTTACTTATATTTCTTGTCAGTTGAATCTTTTTCATTTGACACCAGAAGTATAACTTTGGCAAGTTAGCTTTTATAGTCTCTGCTTTTGTCGATTTTGGAACTACTAGTAGTACTTGATAGAAATCACCTCCTAAACCATTAATTTTCCACCAAACGGTTCATTAATAAGAACCCCGGGCAATTATTTCGATCGTTTGACACTTTTTTTTGGTAATGAAGACCTATATTAAAAGCACATACTAAGAGTCATTACATAATTCATTACATATGGGAACTGTTCTAGGACACGTAGTTCCTAGCTTATCCCTTTCCAAAATCGAAATAACAAAAGTAGGAGGAATTAGATAAGTCCTTAAGCTTCCAAGGATTGGTAAGCTGCTTCCATTCTTCGCCATTGAATCAGCCGCCTGGTTAGCCTCTCTCTATAGACGTGCTGTAGTGGCGGATCCCCTGCTCTACTCAATAGGCATCTGCAATCATCAATTAGGTTATAGGAACAATTCTTATTATCAATTAAATTAATGAGTTCCTTACAATCCGTTTCAATAGTGAGGGGGAGGTAGTTGTTCTCCATGGCTAATTTCAGACCATTCAGTAGTGCTAGTATTTCCATATAAATATTAGTTGCATGTGAAATACTCATGTTGTACCCAAAAACCCATTCTCCATTGCCACTTCTGATGATTCCTCCTATGCCGCCTTTTCCTGGATTTCCAAAACATGAGCCATCCACATTGAGTTTATAGGTGTTTGGTTCCGGCCGTTTCCATTTAATGAGAATGGTGTCTCTAATTATAGAAGGTCTTTTTTGGTTTGTGTCCAGGAGTTTGTATTCCATGGCTTTGTTTACTATATTTTTTAGAAGTAGAGGCTTACTATTATTGTTGAATATCGTCCATTTCTATGCAGCCAAATGTGCCAGAGGATAAAGGGGAGGACATCAGGCCAGTCGAGATATTCATTGAACCTAGTATTCGAGCTACTTTGGGCTTTTGACCAGTTGTGCAAGGTGTATTGGTCTGGCGGTTCTGGGGGAAGAAGCTTGAAACCAACTTGATCCCAGATTGTTTTGGAGTACTTACACCTAAAGAACATATGCATTGTATTTTCATTTGTAGTGCTACAAATGTTGTAGGTCGGAGAGTTACTAATATTCCTGTTGAACATTTGTGATGTGGGGAGTCTATTATGGATAGCCGTCCATAGGAAGAATTTTATTTTGTTGAGGGTTTTAATCTTCTATAGCCATTTGTAATCTTTTGTGTCTCCCTCCTCTCCCCCCTTGAGCATTTCATAAGCTGATTTGATAGTAAAGATCTTATTGATACTTTTGCCCCAGCTATATTTGTCTTCAATAGTTTGGAATTGCTTGATGTAAGTGCTAGTAATTTTGTTCTTAACCTCGATTGGGAGCTGGAATGATAAATCATTAAGGTTATAAGTGTTATTTTTAATAATATCTGCTAACGGTTGATGTTGTGCATGACTCATTAAGGGCCCTTGGATTAGGGTTCTTAACGTTTCCTTGTTACCTAGCCAGGCGTCTTGCCAGGTTTTAATGGATTGCCCGTTTCCAATTTCCCAGTGAATACCTTGTTTACAAATGTTTGTGCTCCGGAAAATGTTTTTCCAGATATAGGAGCCATTTTTATCTTGGAGATTCCAGCTTTTTGGGGGGTTCCTACTGTTATATCTGTTGTGAAGTACCCTACTCCAAAGGGATTTATGATCTTTTTTATATCTCCAAGCTAAGCTAGCACTGAAGGATTGATTTTTCCATTTTGTTTTGTATAGTCCCAACCCCCCATCCTTCTTTTGCTTTGTAGTAGTGTCCCAACTTATCAAATGGCATTTTCTTTTTTCGGAGGTGCTCCCCCATAGGAAGTTCCTTTGGATTCTATCAATGTTATTAATAGTAGCTTGGGGGAGGTTGTAGATTTGCATAACATGATTGGGATTGCTGCCAGGGTTGATTTAATGAGAGTGGTCCTTCCTGCTATGTTAAGGAAGTTGATTTTCCACCCTTTTAGTCTATTGTTGAGAAGGTCGATTATATATTGAAAGTCTTTCTTTGAGGGATTAGAAAACCCTATGGGGAATCCTAAGTACTTACCGAATTCTCTAGTGTGGCTTATTGATAGGCAGTTGCTAAAGTCAATTTTTATGTCTATTGGAATATTTTCAGAAAATATTAGCCTTAATTTGTTGAAGTTGATAGATTGGCCTGAATGTGCGCAAAATTTATTGAGAGTGTCTATGATGGAGTTGCAGCTTTTTTGATTAGCGTTTGCTAGGAGGATTAGATCATCTGCAAAAAATAGGTGTGATAGAGGGGGACTTTTTGAAGAGATTTTGACTGGGTCCCACCTGCAGCAGTCAATTTCATGGTGAATTAGTCTCGACAACATTTCCATGCAGATGATGAAGATGTAAGGGGATAGGGGATTACCTTGGCGAATACCTCTAGACGGTTTAAAGAATTATGAATTGGATCCATTAATAATGATAGGGGTAGACATGGTAGAGATACAAGACATAATTAGGTCAATTAGATCTTGAGGGAATTTTAGGGAGGTTAGTGAGAATTTTATAAGGGACCATTCTAATTTATCGAATGCTTTTTCTAGGTCTATTTTTATCAACATTTTTCCTTTTTTTCCTTTTAATTTTTTAAAGTGATTTAAGACCTCGTGGACAATGATAGCATTGTTTGAAGATTTTCTGCCCTTCATGAAGCTAGTTTGTGTTGGATGGATTAATTTGGGCAGGAGGGGTTTGATTCTATTGACGATGATTTTTATTACTACCTTGTAGGCAGTGTTACACAAGCTGATAGGTCGATATTGCTTGATAGTTTCAGCATTTTGGCATTTTGGGATTAGGCAGATGTAGGTGCTATTCATATCCTCAGCCATTTTTTCTCCCTAAAGGTGTCTTTGCAAAAGTCAGTTAATTTTTCTTTAGTTTCATTCCAGAACTTCTGGTAAAAAAAAGGGTGTAGACCATCCGGCCCGGGTGCTTTGTAAGGATTAAAAGAATCTAAAGCACTTTTAATTTCGCGGGCTGTGATGTCTTGGCACAGGGTTTGTTGGTCCATGTTATCGAGAGTTGCATAGAAGGACATGTAGTGATTCGTTCTATAGGAGGTGTTATGTCCTGTTGTAAAGAGGTTTGTGTAGTAGTTGTTTATTAAAGATTTAATATCTTTTTGGTCGTAGTACCAGTTGCCCACTTCGTACTCGCATCCCCTTCATTCAACCATTGTATTCGGGATTTGAGGCTCCAAAATTCCTCCTCGAGTTTTAGAATGTCATTGAATTCCTTTAATAGATTTGTTTCGAGGTCAAGCAGGAATTGACTGGTCGTATAGTTTGGGGAATTTTGTATTCCATTAATTCTGGAGATTATGACTTTTTTTATGAAAAATATTGCCAAAAGTACTAATGTTCCATTCTTTTATATTTTTTGTAAAGTTTTCAGTTGCTCCAAGTATATTATCTTGGTTGGTCCATGACTCCTTAACAAGATTTTTGAACGTTGGGTGAGATAACCACATGGATTCAATTCTGAAGATATTATTACTGTGTGAGAAGTTTTTGAATAGGTCTAGTTTTATGGGACAGCGGTCAGAATGAATTCCTGTTAAGTGTGTGACGTGTGCTTCTTTAAAAAGGTTAATCCAGCTTGAGTTTGCTACGTATCTATCCAACCTTTCCATGATTAAAGTTCTAGTCTTTTTCTTTTTATTTGTCCAAGTATATTTTGAGCCCTTATACCCTAGGTCAATAATCCCACAAAAGTCTAGGCAGTTAAGGAATTTCGATACTCTAGGGTAGCTTATTGGGAGGCCTCCGAACTTTTCGTTTGCCTTAGTGACTTTGTTGTAGTCTCCAGTGACTAACCAGGGACCCTTAAAACTGCTTGTTACTGTCTTTAAATTTTTCCACAGAATAGTTCTTTCTTCGATTAGGTTGCTAGCATAGATAACAGATAGTAGCCAAGGGTTAGAATTGTTTACCTTAATCATCGCATGGATTTCTTGGTCAGTTGTTCCGATTTGATCCACCAGAATATCTCCTCTCCTGCATTCCACATCATAACCATGCCTCTTGAATTGCCTTGAGCTTCTACCTGAGCCATGTGAGTGAATCCAAAGTCGTTTATGAGCATGCTGTGATCCGCCATTTTTGTCTCCAAGAGTGCTACTAGGAAGGGCCTGTTGTAGTCCATCATAGACCTAAATGTTCTTCTACCTCTTCATTCCCCGCTCCCCTACTGTTCCATACGATCAAACTCATTGGTCTAGATGGGGATGGGGTGCTCTCCTCCGCCTGTGCATGGGGGGGGGGGGGGGGGGGACTTGCTATGTTCATGTTGGCGTATATCGTCGGAATCATTACTACCCCGTATTTGTAGATTGATGGCGGTGTTAGTAGCTCCCTTATATTGGTCGAGCAATTTCCTCAAATTCATCGGGCAGCGTAAGATGACTATTTTTTCTTTTCTTTCCTTGAACACTAGCATTTTTGACGTTCGTAGCATGGCATACTCCACTCCTTATGCTGTTGATGACCCTTCCTCATCTTTATCCTTGTCCGTCTGCTGCATTGGTTGATTGGGTGATGTGGTAGTTCCCTGGTTTTGTTGTGTGTTTGAGTAGTGTATGTGTGGTGGTTGGTTGTGCTGAGGGTTGTTGTGGAAGAGGGGTAGATTCATGCTAAGGGGTATTGGAGTGCTTGGGGTGTTCCTCTGTTGACGACTCCATGGGGATGGGTGAGCTCCCATGGCTGGGTGTGGTGGATTTATTTGGGGCTGTTGGCTACATTGTCCAGCCCTATCCTTAGTCCCTCCGTTACAATTTGGGCTAGGTAACTCGGATTCTCTATTTGTATAATGATGTCCCTGCCTTCTAGGTGTAGATTCATGTTCAGTGAGAACCCCGTTAGGCCGTATTCCAGCCATGAAAGTGGGACGTGGTTTGCAGCTAAAGACGGAGTTGCATACACTATTGGATGACCCTGCCTCAATGCTTGGTTGTTCAGCTGCTGAGTTCCTTGGTATTGTTCGCGTGTCCACACATTTCTCCCGTGATTCCTTTGATGCCTCCTGTAGAAGCTGTTGGTGGGTAGTCTTGGCATCTTTTGTGAGTTCTTTGTGGTCTTTGCCTAGGTTTTCCTTTGCTTTGTTTGTGCTGTTGTTGTTACTAGGCAGTGAGTTTAAGTAGCAGGGTTCATTTTTCCCTTGTTCTGCATAGTTTTCTAGTATATGAAGGACAAGGTTGTTAGAGTTTGGTGAGTTGACATTTTCTAAGGAGTTGTTTTGATTTGTACTATGATTGTTGAGAGTGATGTGAATATCGACCGCTGATTGTTCCGTGTCTTTGGTGGTTTGAATTTTGTTGTCATTAATTAATGAGGTTTTGACAACTTCTTGGGTGATGCAAAGGTCAACTTCCATTGAGCCGTTATCATTGCAAACTAGGGCATGTTGAGAGATATTACTGTCTGTTGGGTTCTTTGAGTTTACGTGTGTTTGTGTGGTTTCGTTAGTTGATCCATCAGATTTTGCTGGGAAGGGTGGGTTTTCTAAAGCATTAACGTTTCCAGGTCTTTGGTTATTAAAGGGGGTAAATTGACACATTAATGGTGTGACTGGGCTCGATGGTTCTGAGTGAATAACCAGTGGTTTTTTTGGATGGTTCGTTGTGGTTTGTGCTGTTTCTAGGGTTTCCATTTTGTCATCCATCTCATTCATTATTGCATTTAATACCATGAATTGATTGCCATTGCTTTTGTCTGTATTGATGCTTTTGTCCAGTGGTTTTGATTGTGTTTCAGGTTTGTGGATTGCTTCATAGTTCTTCCTTCTGAAGTTCTATCTAGGTTGGTGCGTTTGGCCGGAGTTTGTGGCCTGAGTGGTATCGTGTATCTGAGATTTCACTTGCATTTTATGTTCCTGTTTTGGTTGTCTTTGTGAAGGGGTGTTCTGCCTTCCCATTTGGTCCTCCCTTTTCCTAGTTTTTTTATGAGTGACTATAGTCCAGTGGTCAATTTACCCTGTTAGGGATTCAATTCCATCATTGTTTTGGTGATTATCAATTACTTCTTTTTCCTTTGAAGGCTTTTGGTTGGGGCAGTTTGTTTGGATATGGCCCAATCTGTCGCATTGTGAGCAAAGCATGTTAAAACCCTCGTAGGCAATCCTTTGGTAATGTCTTCCTATGATAACATGAGTTTTAAGAGGCTTTCTATGGGTGCTAGGATACATACTCTCGCATATTTGCCCCTGGTAGTTGAGGCAGTGCATGCATCTATCCTTAGTAGCTTCCCTAGTTTGGTTCCTATTTTTTGGAGAATTTCATAGTCATAGAATTCTGTTGGTAGTTCTGGTAATCTGGCCCAGATGGCTGAGTATGTTTGTGAGGCTGCTGAGGCTATGAACTTTGGCTCCCATTTTCGGACAGTGAGGAATTGGTTCCCAATGAACCATGGTCCTCCAAGAAGTGCTTTGTCGTAGTTTTCTGGGTTTGAGAATTTAATTAGGTAGTAGTCGTAACCTAGGTCAATTAGTGTGATACCTTCCGTTGGTTTTCATATTGCTGTGATTTTGTTTTAGAGGAGGGAGTAGCCCACTTTTCTGCCAAATATTTTGATGATAACAGCATTTGTCCAGTTGTTGTAGATCCTTTCTTTGTCTGTGGATGTGATAGGAATAAAATTCTCAGAATCAGTGATTCTCAGTTTCATCAGAGGTGTTGTGGCCTTCCACTGATTTCTGGACTGCTATTTGGTTTTGGTATTGTGCTTAAACCAAATTTTTCTTAAGTTTGTGGAGGAATGGGTTGGTTTGTCTATGATTTTCCTCTGCTAGATCTTGTCTGATTCTGGGGCTGGTGGGTTTGTGTTGACATCTTGGTCCATTTCCATCATTAAGTCTGGGGGTGTATTTTTTGCATCTGTAGATTCGTTTTTAGCTATGTTCATTCAGAGATCCTTCAGGTTCCTTGTGGTGTTCTTGCTAAATTAACTGGATGAGGAAGTCCTTGAACATCAGGACTTCTCTTTAGTTCTAGAGAGAAGTAGGAGAACTTCTCTTTCTAACCCATTTTAGTAAAATTTGATGTCAACTTTGACACTTTGCTACAAATGCTTCATCCCATATTATTAATTTTTCTTTTCTTATAAATTTAGCAACATTGATCTGCTTTGATATATTTGTGATGATTATTTAAGTTGTTTGAAGAGGTATATCAAATCTAAAGTGGGTGGCCTCACAATAAAATCGTTGTTGGTACACCACTTGCTATTACTGCTAACAGTATCATGCTTCTTGATATGATATTTGCAAGTAATGTATGACATAAAAATATTATTTCGATTTCGCCAGAGGCATCTACAAAGAATAATCCCGTTATACCAGAGTTGACTCTTTGTAATATAGTCTTGATCTTGATTAGGATTTAGCTTTGATTGTGCTTCCTCAGACACTTGTATAGCATTTTGATTCTTAGTAATAGACTAACCTTTTTACTTTGTGTTCTAACACTCTTTTTATAGAATAAATTTATGCATCCTAATATTGTTTTTAACTTGAACAAAAATTTTACTCATGTGATGAATTTAAAAAATAAATCAATTGGATTTTTTGCTAAATAATTAATTAAAAGATTTAATTATTTGGTTTTAACGTAAAAAATATTTTATTCTATGTTTATTCAAATCTTAATATTAGTTCATTTCTAGTTTTGAATATTTAATCTTAATTATAATTTTATACACTATAAATTTTATTTTCAAAGAGTAAAAGATTGATATGACATTTCACTTTTAGATCTTTATGTTTAGTGATATTGACTCTTACCAACCATTTTTTTCTCTTTCACACACATTTATATTCTTAAATATTTTCTTAGTTGTTGTTTAATAATTGGGTATGTTTCAATGTTACACGAAAAATTGATTAAAAAATTATTATTTGAGTAGGAAAATAGTTCAAATATAATATAAAAATATATTATCGTGGGGTACTTTTTTTCTCAATTCCAACTCTTTATGAAGTTCATTTAATATTACTTTTTTTTTTTTTTGGTATTGGACATTGTATTGCCAATACGGAGGATTCTTATGAAGTTGATTTTATTAATCCTTCCTACATATTTTTAATAAAAATTTAATAGACAAAATTTTATTAATTTTAAAATCTTAAATATTAAAATTAGCAAATAAGGTATTGTTGTCTAAAAAATAGGTTATTGCAGTTATGTCTTTTTCCTATGAGTTTTTCCGCTTAATATTTTAGTGCTATTTTGGTATATTAATATTGTGTTTATGTTTTAATAATAATATAGGATCTCCTTTTTCTAAATGGATTTCGACAATATAATGCATTCTCAAATTAAATTAGTAATAGGACATTATAATATATTTTCGAATTAAATTAGTAATAGGAATTTTTGATCTAATTGCTTGGGAATTTTTAAGAAGTATACCTAAAAGTAATAGGATTACATGACTAAAGATATTTACTTGTTCAATTTTATATGAATTAGACAGCCCGAAAGTAATTACACTGATAGGGTTCCTTAGGGTAATCATGTAGGATTCTTAACGTGTAGTATTATGTCCTAAAACTAATAGGATTATAAGGCTAGAATCTAGAATTCCAGTTATGTCCTTTTATTATGAGTTATTATGCTTAATATTATAAGGTTATTTCTGTAAACCGATATTGTATTCATACTTTTATAATATTATAGATTATAGATAGATAGATTATAGATTATAGATTATAGATATAGATAGATTATAGATAGATAGATTATAGATTATAGATTATAGATTATAGATTATAGATTATAGATAGATAGATATAGATTATAGATAGATATAGATTATAGATTATAGATTATAGATAGATCAATTTATTTGAAGTTAAGGGTCAACGTGCGCAAACACACACTTGAATTTGAGATTTAAGTGTCATAATTATGCCATATGAACCGTACCCATAAGTGTAACGATTTATTAATTACTCGCACCTAAAGCAACTACGAATGCTAATAAGTTGTTTATCTTCCTAAGATTTGAAATTAGTGTGAAGGTCCAAAGTTATGGAGTTTATTTATTATGGAGAGAGTGTAAGACTTTATCGGACGAAACTAGGATTTTTGCCATAATTGATTGCCTAGCATTTGTTTGTTTCCATGAATAAGGGGGAACTGTTAAATGATTTTAGATTGACAGGAGATATACCCAGACGTGATTGCTCAATTTATGTAAAGAATGTTATTTTAGAAGTAATATCGAAGTTGATGGGGGTATTAGATTGGAAAGAAGTGGCCTTTGTGCAGGATGGTTGAAGTTCTGGGCTCAGATGTTCAACAGATAAAAGAATAGAACTGGACTTAAGTGAAAGCCCAAGTTCACGCAGTCATGCCTCTAAAATTGGCGTTTGCGTATAAGTAGCAACGGTTAAAATAGTACGGGCTAGCCAGTTACAGGTTATTCAAAAATAGCCAGCGTTTGCAAAGTCATTGAAAAATAGCCACTATTTTGCTGCAACGGGGACCGGTCCAGCATAATATACTAGAGATCAGTGCACCTGTGTTTGAACTTCCAGCGTATTATTCTGGAACTCCGGCACGCGAAAAGTTCCAGCATAATATACTGGAGATTGAAGCACCTGTGTATGAGATTCCAGCATATTATACTGGACTAGTATATTATACTGGAACTCCAGTGTATTATGCTGGAGTTCCAGTATACTTATGCTGGAACTCCAGTATGTTATGCTGGAGTATTTTCCGAATTTTGAACAGTGTTTTCGTTCAGATTTATCTTTTATGAAAAGTGCCTAAATTTTGATTACTTTTGAAACTGTGACTATTTTTAAATGACCACTTGTAAATCTGGCTATTTTTGAATTTCTCCCGTAGCAACGGGACCAATTGGACCTCGAATCATTGGGCCGAAGGGGCAGATAACTAAAGTGGGCCTGGAAGATTCGAATTGACCAGGTCTTAGGTAGATCTCATTTAGAAAGCCCAGGCACTCTATAGCGGAATGCAAAATGGGCCATCCTCGTCGGGCCCAATCACGCTATCACAGAATTGACTATGGTTACTTCTAGGAAATTTTATATCCTATAGAAAAACTTAGTACCCTATTTATTTTAAATAAATACCATTTTAAAATATTACATCCTATAGATACCTTTTATCCTTTATAGCAAAATATCTAATTATAGTTACATCCTACATTTAAGGCACCATATATGCTAAACAATATTTTTCTCTCTCCTTTTTAGTCTTTTCTCTCACATAATCACCGTAAATCTTACTAACCACGTTCTCTCTCTCTTTTTGCATACACTTTACTCTCTTCTCCCACAAACCCACGATTCATACCTATTCTCCCACCCAAATTCGCTAGGTCTCCGCCATTATCACTCCCACACGAAGCTCGCCGACCGTCGCCGATCGAAGAGCGTCACCGACGACGACCTAGAACAGCTTCGTGCTTGCTTTGACTTACCGAAACTCACCGAAACTTGTTATGTTTTGGTGGTAATTGGAGTCGAACTTACACTTGTTATGCAGAAAACATCTGCTAATACCATTGGACTATGGTAGTCTCAATTGATATAGATTTCGAGAGATAATTGTCAATATGGTGGTAATGTGCTTGCTTTGGATCCGAAACTCTTCCTGCTTTGGAGCTATATCAAGCTGTGAACAAGCAGTACAGTAATAATGT